ATGTGGAAAAGCAGAAATTGCTGGGAGGAGAAGAAATGAGGACCCAAGACGAGCAAGAGAAGAAAGTTGTAAGTGAGCGTAACATTAACACAACTTTCTTCGCCTTGTTTAACGGTGGGCTGTTGTTATCTGTCAGTGATATTTCAGGATCGGTTGCGGTTACTTTGATAATTTTTGAGATAGCCATTGAGGGAAAATTGTGACTGGTTTAAGAACTGAGAGTTTTTTGACATAATTCTACAATACCTTAGTTAAAAAGGGAACTTATTGCTCGGATGTCTCTTTGATTATTAGTAACAGTGAGCATGCTTTGTGCACTTTCTGTGTTTTTTTGAACACCTACGATTTAATTGTCTTCGCTGCAACTAGTAAATTCACCATCCTGTACAGTTCCAGAACTTGTGTTCAAATAACTTTATATGGTGATGTGAAATATTATGTCCAGATTCCACTTCTAAAATTTAATCTATAAAATATGTTAGATGTGTTCTTCAATTTGTTCTTTTTGCCTATTTTTAGGCTTGCTGAAGTTCATCTACCAGATAGTCTTGTATGCGTCAATTGTTCGTACCGCAGTTATCGCTGTTTTTCATCTATCTCCCGAACAGTTGCCTGAAACGAAAAATCTTCAACTGAGTAGCGAGGTAATAATCATATCCTTTCTGGAAATTGGTAGAGATTATAATTCCGGAGCGAACGAAATCAAAAATCTCAAGTTTTTTTGTCCCTTCCACACTCTCGCTCGATAATTGCCAAGATCCAGCAGCATCGAATCTATACCGGCAATGAGGTCATTGGAAAGAGCAGCCCGAGTTGTCGCCGTCGATGAGAATTAAACAAGAAGCTAGCCTCTGTCGAGGAGCACGGCTTGGAATTGCCCCTATCGTTTAGTAGATGTTGTGCAGCGAGGCAGTGGTGAAGCTGCTGTTGGTGCGTAGTCGAATGTGTTGATGAGGAGTGCAGCGAGAAACCGCCAACGGTGAAATGAAGTTGAATAATAAAGCTGGGAGTGGGATGGGCTCGTTCCAAACGAAGCACCGCCCATGGCTCGCTTCAGCCGAAGCGCCGCCCACTTTTTATCCGAGCGAAGCACCGCCCACTTCTGAAACGCCTCGATGAATTACGTGTTCA